GTTTAATAATATAATTTTTATTAAAGATAATAATTATACATTCGGTTAGAAATTCAATGATTATCTTAATTATATTTTAGATTTCTATATTTAAAATAGATGTTTATCATGTATTTGATTATGTTTATCTGCAGTTAGTTACACGAATTTTAAAAAAAACTTTAATAAGTTGTACTTACGTAAAATCACTTGTAATCTTGAATTTTAAGTGATATGCATCAATAAATAATATTTCATATATAAAAAATGGTTTTTAAGAATTTTTATCAAATGCTTTAAGATATAGTATAAATAAGCATGGTTTACAAGCAAGATTGATAATATCATGTACTTTTGTAAGATGAGTTTAATATTTCGTTTGTGTTCCAACCCTTAAAGGAGTTGAAATAATTAATAATAAGAAGTTCGGTTTTTGTTGCTGATTGTTGACAACAGAAACAGAGGTATAAGGGTTTCCTAGATGTTGGTGGTTGCTAGATGATGCAACAATTAGAACATATTATTATTTGCATACCAACTCTCTAAGGATTGTTTGTTTATCTCTTAATAGTTTCCTTAACAAGTAATCTCTGAATCGAACCTTGTTTTGGCAAAAAAAACAAGTCTGCCTCTTAACGGTTCTAAAACCCTCTGAATGATTTTGTATCCCGAGCCTCTCTTAAACATTCAACGCCCTAATTTCGTTGTAAATAATTACCAAATAATTATATTTCATTTTGCACTATATTATGAGAGTCACTTAATCATTCTGCACCAAACCATTCAGCAACTGTCAAACAACCCCTAATACTTTTGAACTTTATAAAACCAACTGTTAAACATGCTTAAATGCAAAAGGGAAAATTGCACCAAAATGGAACCAACTTTCACCTGATTCCTATTTTGGGAAACCAACTTTCAAAATCGTCATTTAAGGGTCTCTATCAAACTTTTTGTTTATTTAAAGGTCTGGTTGACCCGTTAGTGCTGATATCATCCAGATTTTTTTGCCAACTAAAGATATTTCACGTCATAATAATTTTTTATTTTAAAACTAATATTTCATGTCATATTTAAAATTGTTAAATAATTATAGAAAAATAACTAAAATTCGTTTTTTTTTTCAAAAAATAATGCAATAAAATCTATTTTTCATTTCAAATCTCGTTTTTTTTTAAATTCAGATATCAAATTGAAGATTTTTTCAAAAAAAATCCAAATTACCATAATAAAAATTGTTTTTTACTAATGCAATAAAAAAATTAATTGATACAATAAAAAATAAATATTAAATATCACATTCAATATTTTTATATCTAACCAACCGTAACAATATTAAAATTTAAATCAAATTTAACAAATCAAACCAAAAATTTGATAAAGACCCTTAAATTACCTGTTACATGTTCAACAGATCAACCAGACCCTTAAATAAACAAAAAGTTTGAGAGAGACCCTTAAATGACGATTTTAAAAGCTGGTTCCCCAAAATAAGAATCAGGTAAAAGTTGGTTCCATTTTCGTGCAATTTTCCCAATGCAAAATAAGCAGAAAACTCCTATTAATATGACAAAGTACTCCATAAAACTGATAACCAACAGATAGCTCTCCCNAAGATCAATAGTAATATATACTTGAATCGAAAGCATTATCTACCCCGGGTTTGAATACAAATGCTGCCAAAGCCCTTATGACCATGAAAGTTCACATGCGCTGACTCCAGAGAGGCTGGTCGGTGCTCGTAAGCTGGCCCGGAAACCCATAGTTAACATTATCATTTATAAGCTATAAGCATGGTTTACAAGCAAGATTGATAATATCATGTATGTTTCGTTTGATGAGTTAGGATAAAAGATGAGTTTAATATTTCGTTTGTGTTCCAACCCTTAAGGAGTTGAAATAATCAATAATACGTTCGGTTTTTGTTGTTGATCGTTGACAACAGAAACAGATGTATAAGGGTTTCGTAGATGTTGGTGGTTGCTAGGTGATGCAACAATTACAATATATTATTATTTGCATACAACTTTCTAAGGAGTTGTTTGTTTACCTCTTAATAGTTCCATTAAGAGTCAGTCACTAAATCGTTAAGAGGTAAATCTTATTTGGCAAAAAAAATTTGTTTCTTAATGATTCTAAAACCCACTAAATGATTTTGTATCTTGGCCCTCTTTTAAACATTCAACACCCTAATTTCGTTGTAAATAGTTACCAAATAATTATATTTCATTTTGCACTATATCATGAGAGCCTCTTGATCATTCTGCACCAAACCATTCAGCAACTGCCAAACAACCCCTAATACTTTTGAACTTTATAAAACCAACTGTTAAACAATGCAAAATAAGCAGAAAACTCCTATTAATATGACAAAGTACTCCATAAAACTGATAACCAACAGATAGCTCTCCCACTCTCTCAAAACAATACAGATTCATAAAAAGTTCAACCCCTTTCACAACAATTGTTCAATCATGATGGAATGTAAGTTAACCAAATGGTGTTGTCACAAGCCTCTGTATGTAATAGTTGCTAGAACTCTAAATAGGCAAAAACATTCTCGASCATCAAAATTGATTRTTTGTAAGTGTCTCTTACYTGGTAAGCAAGGTAAGAGTCTTCTTTCTCACTTACGGGGTAAGAATATCGGTTTTTTCCCATGCCTCTTACTAGATAAGATTCTTGGTCCTTGTCATGTTTATCCGGTAAGATAAGTGATGCGGTAAGTGCTTACTGAGTAAGCATCAGTAAACGATTCCTAGCATTTCCACTTACAATCTCAAGAGTCAAACTATMTCTCTCTTTTGAAGAATGGAGGGATACAATCCATTTGCCTCATCCAAATGCTTCYGATATAGTTTCAACACTTCAGGGGATTCCTCTTCATACTTCTTCAAAACCCATTTGAGAAATTTCGTATCCGAATACATCAACCAGTTCGTGAAGTAAAAGTCATCGGTCAACCCTTTCTCCGCTAGATACTGATAAACCAAACACCTAGGAATAATCCTCTTCTCAAAGCTGAAACTCATGACTATAGGCCACTGAAGGATGTAACTTTTTTCCCAACCCATTGTATTAACAAGAAAATCCATGATTCGCRTTATCTTATCCGTTGAAGCCGTCATACACCCTGGACATCTCTCAAAAGCCATGAAAATCTCCCCTTCGGACCAACCCCACTTCTTATAGAGCTCCACCTTCATATCCCAGGTCGATTTGCTCATTGACCTGACAGCATGAACCGCCCAAAGAAACCTTGTTTTTGAAGTATCAAACCCCATGTTCTTCACATCCCCAATGACCTTTTTAAATCTATCAACAGATGTAAAGAAAGTTCTGGGCTGTAGTGCCAACATTGATACTATAGTCGACTCAGGAACCCCTATTTCTCGCAGAATTTGAATATTTCCCGCAGCATAAACTTGTAGATCATAAGTTAAAGCCATAGGGTACCGCTTAATGGCTTTGATAACTTTATCATCTGATCCTAAAACACTTCTTAAATAATTAACACATTGTAGGGCTCTATCTTGCAACGGTCTATCAAAAATATCTTTCGGTCTAGCACTTACAATTACAGCAACATCAGTACTTGAAAGACCTATTGAATTCAAAGTTTGGAAGGCAGGCAAAAGGGTCTTCTCAGGATCATATAATAAGATTTTAGGGTGCCTACAAATCAACTTTGAAACTTGCGATTTAGTGAAACCGTGATCATTGAGAAAGGCAAGAACRGAGTCTGCCCTATTTGGGGATTTCGATAAATCCACGTGCTTGGAGGCTAAAAGTGCAGATTCCAGAGAAACCCCACATGAATTTGTAAGGTAAGTAACTGTAAATRAATGTTGATCTGAAGAATCTGAAGGTGTGCATGTAAATGGTGAAGATGATGAGGACAAGGATAATAAGCCATTGCAGCCTGGTTCAAGCTTGATATGAGGCCTTGCATGGGATCCAATTCTTCTAGAGATGAAATTAAACAACATTGGAAGGTGCAAACCTACAAAGGCATATAATCGATTTGTGCCGTAGCTGTCTGGYGTGAGCTCTATAATCCCTTTTCTTTGAAGGAAAACCCTAACAACATGCTTTTCAAATGCTTCTTACAAATACCTCGCAACCCTGCTCTTTGAATCCATTATCACAACTCATGCAAAGAATCCTGAAAGTTCTTTTTGGGCAAAATGAATCAAAATACARTACAAAACAGTAAGAAAYCAGATCCAATTTACAGTTGGGGTTTTATGTTCCACCATTTTTTCGAGCTTCGTACATAACCTTCCCCTGCATTTTTGCAAAGAGGTTGCTTTCGGTCACAAAGGAGTAACTAATGGACATGAAACCCACTTCAAATTGTAAACCAATTAGAATTGAAACCAAATTCATTAGAAAACCATTATAAACATCACCTAAGACAGTTGAAAATAGCAATTTTCTCATCTTATCTTTTCTTGTCAGCCTTCTTCTTTGTATGTATATAGAACTGATATCACAACTCAACAAGTATAATAAGAAACTCATCGTGGATGTAGGCAAATTGCTTGATTCTGTTTTTCCTCCCATTTCCTATAATATATTTGTGCGTGTGTATAACATTGATCCTAGTTGTAACCTTATAGGTTGATCCATTGATACCCCCATTTACGCAGATATCTTATTAACCAATCCTTTTGCTACTGTTCTTAGTAATCTGAATCAATTTTCATGCATTCGAATGGTTTGAAAGACGGCAACCATTCAACCAACAAGGCACAAAGCCARCAACATCGCAACAAATCAAAACACCTAAAAAACTGAACAAATGAAAACCAATAGTAAAGCAACATATGAGCAAAGAAAGGGCAACTGGGCAAAGGCAGTTAGCCTAGGCAGAAACCAGAAACCTTAACGCACTAAGCAACTTAGCAATCGATATTCCGAGTTCATGATTCATAAATCAAACACATGAAAACCAACAAAAGTACAAAATATAATTGGTACCTGACTTCAATCAATTAAGAAATCCGATTCAGGGTTTGGCCGTTTGAGGAGTTCCCGTCCGATAAACCGAGTTAGTGTTCAAGAGTGGGTCTCACACAGCACGCTCTCGCACTATACATTTCACACTTCACGATCGATTTGAGTGAGTTAGGGTTTGAGGCACTGGCGGATTCACAGTCGATTTGAATCTGTTAGGCTTTGAGAACAGCGAGAAGACGAGAAACGAGAGGGACAGGGTTTGAGAATCGAGCGTGAATTCTGATTTCTGAAAATGGTTTCATTATGCCCCTTTGCTTTAATGAGGGTGTCTGAAATTCCCTTTTAGTTTCATAATTTGTCATTGCACCCCTTGTAGTTTAATTTAAATGGAGGCACAAATTGAATCAAAATAGCGTCGCCTCTCAGGGCAGTTCSGYAGCTGARAGCTRTTGAATAATTTGGTGCATAATGATTTGGTGATCATAATGAYTAAGAGATTCTTATAATATAGTGTAAAATGAAATATAATTGTCTGGTAATTGTTGATAATGAAATGAGGGTGTTGAATAGTTAAGGGAARCCTAAGATACAAAATCATCCAGACATTTTAGAACCATTAAGAAWCATATTTTTTGTCAAACAAAAATCACCTCTTACCGATTCAGATGTTGTCTCTTAATGRATTTATTAAGARRTAAACARACAACATCTTAGAGTCGTAATTGCTTCCACTACATTAGTTGTGGGTTGCTGAGAGCCTT